CAGCCAAGGGCAAACCCATCACAGTAAGTAACTGTAAGATGAAGATTACCTATGAGATACTGCAATGGGACACTACCAAGGTGTTGGACAGAGCTAGGTGGGGACCTTCCATGCACAGACTTCTTTTGAATGCTCTGACAGAGCCTCTGACCAACACACTTGGTTAGGGAGCCATGACCCAAGTTCATCTACCACAACAGCAACTTCAGATTTAAAACAGTTTGCCCACTCCCTGGTAAACAGAGGTTTAAAACAGCAAATATCTTCCAGTGTGAGAATCCGATAGGAGGCAGAATATACAAGCTGGTAGGGCAAGAGCAATGACTGGATGGGCTGGCTCTTCATGCAAGGAGGCAAATAGAGTAGGTTTTTTTCTTGGGGAGGGGCTTAAACAGATTTCTGTTTGTGCCTGATTAGATCCCAGGTCACAATGTTTGTGAATCACACAGTGGTGCCATGCCCAAAAACAAGGACTCTTGGTGACACAGGTTTATGCAGACCTACCTAAATTTGTGTGCACGACCTGTGATTACAAGGGTGTGTCTTGAGGTTTAGAGCTTTAGTTAGGTTTGCAGATTACTCTTAGTGTAACTTGCAATGGCTTTTCTTGAGGCTATAATGGAAATGAGCATATAACATAATCCATAGGCAGCACAAATCAGCATTTTTGTTCTACTTTCAGAAGGCTAATTTTGCTCCGGAGTTTTTTCACTGCCTGGGAGCTGAGAGCCTCCTTTCTTCATGGTGATTTTATATATTTTTCAATCAGCTTCGCGGGCAGTATGGTGGATATTATGAATTAATGTCAACTGGTAATATGCTAACAAATCAGCTTGATTTGGCCTGGAAGCAGACAGGGTTAAAAGATTTTGGAGAAGGCCTTGCATGCACCTGTTCTTTGAATGGAAAAGTCTCCTGCCTCCATCGCTATCAGCCCACAGCGTGCGGCTCACTTTTAAAAGAAGAAGGACAAACCATCTGCTCCCACTACTAAGTATGCCTGTTTTCACAACCTGCTTTTCCAGCAGCTGCAAACTCACATGTTTGAGAGAAGAGGGCTAGGAAAGGGTTGGCTGTGTCAGGCTAGTCACAGAGCAGACAGGGGAAAAGGCACGTACCTGTTTGCTGTGGTAAAATCCATTCTTATTGCAGTTGGGCAAGTAGAATTTGTAAACCTCCCCTCTGCTTCTTTGCTGTGCCTTTGCCAATTTATACAGGGCTCTGTAAAGCTCCTTCTGACAAGGTCCCTGTGGGAATACCATACAAAGGTTGTCAATGCCAAAATCACAAAGAAACTACCTAAACAAAAAGTGATCGGTGTAAAGCTAGCAAACAGATGAAAATACTTATTAGTCTTAAAAATCTGCGCTAGATTGCTTCACATGTAGTTTTTACTTATTTCAGCAACAGAAAACTCTGGTGTTGCATTGAAGCCTTTGTTTTTGTTCTTTGAGGTATTTTCTGTCCTGAGAAACATGAGGATTTAAGTCCTTAAATTGCCACACAAGGAAATTTAACCTGTGCTAAGTAAACACGTTACTGCTCAGAGGGTACAATCTCTCCTATTATGGGGAGGTGCACATTAGGAGGCTGGTGTACGTGAGACTAGCCACGTTTTCTGGGTTGCCATGGCCCTGTACTCTGTTGATGTATGGAGAATAGGTGCAAGACATATATAGAGGTGCAAGAACAAACATCTGAATGTTTGTTATCTTTTGTGCAGGACAGAGCTTGTAGCCAAAGCAGAATAGAGGTCACCTCTGTGGCTCTGAGACCTAAACCCAAAGAGCCGGGAACTGAGGATGAACTATTTGCAATATTCATTATCTTCACAATTTGCTTGCTCCCCTTTTCAAAGTCACCATTGCCAAGTATAAACAGTACCTACTGTGTTTAAATGAGCAAAATGCGAGAAGTGACTGAACAAATATTTGTACTTCAGTGTGAAAATAATCGGCTTTTGCAAGACCTCCCCATGTCACCCTCACGTAAGTGGTCCTATTCAAGCCAACAGGTTTATCTATGGCTCTGGGTGAGAAAAGTAGAAGCCTCAAAATCAGAACAGAAGCTAACACCACTTATGTGTAATAGTTCAAAATAAATCAGTTTGGATGTGGAAAAAGGCTTCCTAGGGTGGAGGGGTGGTTAGTTTTGGTTTATTTTTATTTTTATTTTTATTTTTTTTTGTCTGTGACCATGACGAGAACTGGGCTTTTGTGGTGCCCAATTCTAGTTCAGCTCTGTGCTGCGGGTGTGCTGGCTTCTGGGACTGGTCTAACTGTGGTTCTCTGGTGCCCTCAAGTGGAACACAGACGGAAAAGGCCCCATACCCCCATTACCCACTGCAGTTTTGCAGTGTCAAAGGTAAAAGCTTACTTTAATTGATGAGTTTTCTATCTTTTTACATGTACCTACTTAGTAGCATTCCCTTGTGATCAGAAAGGAACATATTTTTATTTCACTGAGCGTTGGACCAGTCACAAGTATCTTTTATTTTTTAGCTAAAACACAAAAGGAGTCCAAGATTTTAATATGGGCTGCTGGAAATTAAGGGCCCATGTTATGATCTGATAGTAAATGCAGAGAAAGACTCAGCTTCTGCATGGAGGCTGTATAAGGATATAACTGACGCACACCTGTTTTTACTGCTTCTGCTGTGTCGCCTGTTCCTCAAGAATCTGATAACGGCATTCCAAAAGTCTGTTTTCTGGCTACCCAAAATACCGACATCCTAGTGTTGCTGCTAGAATTTCATGCACATTTTCACTTTGTATTTGGAATCAATAGCATCTTCGGAAATGGTCTCTGAAAGGTTTGCAAATAAAACCCACCTGCTCTTTCCACTTCTTGAGTTCAGATATTCTCTTTGCTTTCATGTTTTCATATGCAGTGATAGCATTCCAGGGGATGGATTTGTCCTGGTCTATGGGAAACATCAACTGATAGTTCAGCAGCTGATCCTGTGTCATTTCAGTGCTTTCCAAAGACATACCCTCAGGTTCAATAGAGTCTGGAAAAGAATGATATTAAGGTGAACATCTTCAGTGAACTTTTGCATTTATCTCTCAAAGTTAAAAATGTAAAGAATAAGAAGAAGAGTGAGGAACAACAACAAAAATAATATCTAAGATCCATTACAGTAGCTCTTGCAGGAGTAATAAATTACACGTGCAGCACAGCAAGTTAAACTTTTGTCATAAATACGTATGAGGATGCACCAGCAGTTCTCTAATAAATTGGTTATTTTATGATTCTTCAAAATCCCTCTAATCCCAAAGATAAAGCTGCAGCCACTCTGTTAGAAAGGAAGAAACTTTTTTGACCACAGTGTATTGTAGAGACTTTCCTAAATGAGAGAAGACTGGAGTTAAGCTTGTAATTCATTTAGATTTTTGTCAGCATGATGTGTTTCAGTTTTTATTCAGGAGAGGAACTGGTCCAGACCTGATCCCATGGCTTCCTGTACTTTGTTCCATGGTTTGCCTCATATAAGAAGGGGTAGCAACTCACAGGAGCCAACAGTTGCTCGTGCTGGCCTGCAGTGGATCAAATAGCCAGGAAATGGCAGAAACTGTTTGGATCTGTTTGATCATGGCCCGCATGCCAATGACGAACTCAGTGCATGTGAAGTCTCCCACTGAAGGCAACAGAAGCTCTTTGCAATTGCAGGGACTCATCATGGGACAAAAGTTTGACATGTGTCTAAATAAGTTGTTGGATCAAGGCTATAAACAATCATCCAATGGACTAAAACCCACCTGGTTTTCCCCTTGACAATGTTTAAGAAAAAAATGGAGGTAGAAAATTGGGAAGGGAAAGGAGAGGAGAGGAGAGGAGAGGAAGGAAAGGAAAGGAAAGGAAAGGAAAGGAAAGGAAAGGAAAGGAAAGGAGAAAAGGGAAAAAGAAAAGAGAAAATTAAAGGAAAGAAAGAAAGAATCAAATATTAGACATTTTTAACTGCAGGAGGCTTAAACATTTAGTTTCGTTATCTTCCCTCCCAGTGCCCTCAAGTATAAGAGAAATTACTGCTACCAATGGCCATTGTTACTTGGAGTCAACAGCGATTATTTTTGTAATGCTACTGTGTTGCCTTAATCCACCACTTCAGGACCATAGCAGTAACGATGGTGGAAATAATAATAAGAATAAATTGTAAAATAATGAATTAACACTGAAGAAGTTCCTTATCATCATATAGCATTAGGTGCTTGATATGACTTCTTGCTCAAAGATAGTTTGTCTAGCACTGCACTACTTCAGATGCATTTTATGCTTTAATTGAAGCCAGGCACAAAGCCTGTTTAGGTCTTTTCATTCTCTATCATGACTTTTGCAGACCGACATGAACAAAGGCTAGAAAAATTTGTCCTACTCTAGTTACTGTTTACTACTAACGAAAAACTGTCCATAACTTCCCAGAAACCTTATTCTGATTATTCTGCATCATGCCTTTACCACGCTTCAGGGTTTTCCTGCTCGCTGCCTGCGGCACTAACAGCCTGTTTCGAACATCTCTTGGCTCCGCACCAGGATACCTCTCACCTCGCACAGGTCAGAAGACGTTTTCCTGGAAAACGCAGCCCCTCTTCCTTACTTTTCAAACGTCTGCCTAACTTTGCTCATTTTTCCAAGCTCCCGACGCCCAGCGCCCCGCAGAGCCTTGCCTGGCCCCAAGCGCATCCCCGCCTGACCA